GGTTGACTATCCCCCTGCCCAGATCCGATAGGACTGGAGCATCCGCAGGAAATGTACATCACCCAGACACAGACACAGCGCCGTGCTGCGCCCTACCCCCCAGCTTCTGCCTCCTGGTTTTTTTCCATTCACTCTCTTCGCTCTCCCTCTCTCCTTCCTTTTCTACCAATCTCCGTTTCTCCCCCTCTCTCCCTCCCTCTTTCCCCTTCTCTCTGCAGTTCTCCCCGTAGCAACATTTGGATTGCGAGGTTGTTGCTGCCTGAGATGCTGCAAAAACACTGAGAGGGAGGTGGGGTGGGAGATACGGAGACAAATGCAATCATAGGAGGGAAAGCTGGGCTACCCCACAAGCAGGGGGGGAATGCCCCCTCCTTTCAGTACTTAGCTCAGTCCCATCTATCTCACCCTTTCCAGCACCCGAAGTGCGTTGTCATGGAAACCCAACCTTCTCACCGAGTTTCTGGGAGCAACTGCCTAGGGTGGGCGGAGTGTATAACTAGGGTGGGGGCCTGGAGTTGGCTCCTGACAGCTGGGCAGGAGATGAAGGCGGTTCTGCGGGTTCTGGATGCCTGGGTTCTATTCCTGGCAAGACTGCAGACTGAATGGGTGCGTGGGCAGCTGTGGTCCCCAAATTGGTATGTGTGCACAAAAGCATAAAGAGCAGTTGGGGTCGAGGAGGGAGAAAGGGTGAGCAGCCCCTCCCTCTCCCAGCTACATTGCACTTCACAGACCAAGGCACTGCCTTGCCCACGGCTCCCACACCTCCTGTCACGATGGGGCTACAGACATCCAGACTCTAGGGCTATTTAAAGGGCTTTATTTCTAGCCCCAGCACCAGACTGCCACTGCTATCCTGGTCTCAGGCTTCTTGTCCCAAGCTAGACAGGGAAGATCAGGAGGTCTGAAGGCTATGTATATACATCACTTCCTAGCCAAGAACGTTTTGTGTCTGTCACGTTTCATTTATGGCAGGGAGTTTCCTGTGCTTTTATCTGGAAAAAAAAAAAAAAACAAAAACAAAACCCAGACAATGATCTCTTGGTAGAGGTGGAATTCAAGTTTCTTGTGGGCTCATCCAGAGTGTATTTGTTAGTGACCAGGAGGTGGGGGAAAGAACAGAGCAAGGACACCGTGCAATTGATTCACTTCCCTTGGGCACAGAGCAGGGCTCTCAGGACTCATGGCCTTTTCTCCATTCTCACCCTTGACCTCTCTTCGTCATTTGACACCATCGAGCACCCCCTCCTGGATAGTCACTGGATTGCTGTAACACCCCTCTGACATAGTCCTCTTACTTTTTCAGTTTTCTCTTCAGTTTCTTTATCTATATTCTGCCCCTTTGGTATAGATGTATCCTATTGCTTGGTCCTGGGATCTCTCCTCTTTCTCTTTTACTGATCTTACCAGAACTCGTGGATCCAATGATCATCTCTATGAAGGTAACTCCCAGATTTACAAATCCAGCCCCATCTCTCCCGTGTTCCAGTCACCCATTTCTAATTGCAGTGCTACCTGGATGTCCCACAAGCATCTCACACTCAACATGTCCAAAATAGTCCTCATCTTGACACCTACATCTACCCCATCTGCTTACTACACTTTATTAGAGCTGCCCAGGTTCACAATCTAAGAATCATCCTGGACTCCTCATTCTCTCACTAGCCCCACACCACATTCAATCACTTATCAAGTCATATATTTCATGACCTCAACATCCTTTGCATCTGGCCTCTTCTCTACCCATACCACAACTATCCTAGTCCAGGCCTTTATCACCTCTTGTCTGTACTACTGCAAAAAAAAAAAAAAAAAATCCTCTTTAGTCTCCCTGCCTCAAATTTCTCCCCTTCTCCATGCTCCACCCAGTTGCCAAATCGATATGCCTAAAGCACAGCTCTGATCGTGTTACTCTTGTGCACGTAATTGCCCATAGGACAAAATAAAAATTACTCTGCTTGGCATTTCTGTGGAAGACTGTAAACACTTCACGATTTGATTTCACTCTACTTTTCCAAGCTGATTACTCTTGACCAGGGGTGGGGGATCTATGGCCTCAAGGCCACATGTCTAGGTCTTTGGGTTCAGCTTTTTGACTGAGTCCAAGTTTTACAGAACAAATCCTTTTATTAAGGGGATTTGTTCTGTGAAGTTTGGATTCAGTCAAAGGGCCACACATGAGGACATAGAGGGCCACATGTGTCTTTGAGGCTGCAAGGTTCCCTAACCCTGCTCTTGACTCTCCATATACCCCACACCCCAGTCAAACTAGCCTCCTTGCTGCTCCATACAAATGACATTTGGCCTCCCATGTTCATGACTTTGCACAGGCTGCCCCTCCATGCCTAGAATGCTCTCTTCCTTCACCTCTACTTTTTGGAGGGCCTAGCACCTTTCAAGGCTCAGTTCCTGCCGTCTCCTTCAAGAGGCCTTTTAAAATTATCTCAGTTCAATTAAAAGGTTTTGCACAAACAAAACCAATGCAACCAAGATTAGAAGGAAAGCAGAAAGCTGGGGAAATTCTTTATAGAAAGTGTCTCTGATAAAGGCCTCACTTCTCAAATATATAAAGAACTGAGTCAAATTTATAAGAATGCAAGTCATTCCCCACTTGGTCAATGGTCAGTGGCCAAAGGATATGAACAGGCAGTTTTCAGATGAATAAATCAAAGTTATCTATGGTCATATGAAATACTGCTCTAAATCACTATTGATTAGAGAAATGCAACTTAAAACAACTCTGAGGTACCACCTCACACCTATCAGATTATCTAATATTACAGAAAAGGAAAATTATAAATGTTGGAAGGAATGTGGGAAAATTGGGACACTAATGCACTGTTGGTAGAGTTGTGAACTAAATCCAACCATTCTGGAGAGCAATTTTGAACTATGCTGAAATGGCTATAAAACTCTGTATATGCTTAACCCAGAAATACCATCACTAGGTCTGTATGCCAAAGAAATTAAAAAAAAAAAAAAAAGCAGGTAGAGAGGGGAAGGACCTATTTGTACAAAACTATTTATAGCAGCTCTTTTTATAGTGGCAAAGAATTGGAAATTGAGGGGATGACTATCAATTGGCAAATGGCTAAACAAGCTGTGGTATATATGATTGCAATGGAATACTATTGGACTATAAGAAATGATGAGCTGGATCATTTCAGAAAGGAAAGACTTGCATAAGCTGATGCAAAGTGAAATGAGCAGAACCAGGAGAACATTGTCCATTGTAATAGCAATATTGTACAACAGTCAATGGTGAATGACTTAGCTGTTCTCAGCAATACAATGATCCAAGACAATTCCAAAGGACTCATCATGAAAAATGCTATCTGCCTTTGGAGAAAGAACTGATGGAGTCTGAATGCAGATCAAAGTATGTTACTTTTCACTTTATTTTTTTCATGGTTGTTTTTGGTCTTTTTTCTTTCACAAAATGACTAATATTGAAATATGTTTTGAATGATTGCACATGTATAACCTATGTCAAATTGCTTACTGTCTTAGGGAGGGGGGAGGAGATAATTTGGAACTCAAAATTTTAAAAATGAATGTTAAAAATTGTTCTTACATGTAATTAAGAAAAATATTATTTTAAAATCCTCAGTTGTTATTGCCCCACCCCATTTCTATATATTTATTTTGTACCTATTCTACCAGTACTGATCTGTGAATGTGTAATCACCCAGTAGAAGGCAAGCTCTTTGAAGGCAGACACTATCTTTGTATTTTTTTCTTTTTTAGACAATTGGAGTTAAGTGACTTGCCCAGGGTCACACAGCTAGTTAAGTGTCAAGTGTTTGGTCTGAGGCCAGATTTGAACTCAGGTCCTCCTGACTTCAGGGCCGGTGCTCTATCCACTGCGCCACCTAGCTGCCCCTACTATCTTTGTATTTCTATCCCCTGCACCTAGCACAGTGCCTGGCACAGAACAATTAATAAATGCTTGTTGGTTGATTGGCTTGGCTCTCCCTTCCTAGTATAAATTGCAGGAGTGAGACAGTGAGAGGTAAGCATGAGCTGAAAAGCAGGGCCAGAAACTAAGAGGTGAGAATATGATGGAGTACAGACCAGGACGCAGCTGAACTATCCCAATATTCCCCTCTAAACAACTTTAAAATAATGCCTCAAATCAAATTTTGGTTTGGCAGAGCCAATGAAAGGTCAGAGGGACACATTCTTCCAGCCTAAGACAACTTAGGAGGTCCAAAGAAGTCTGTGCCACCAGAGTGGGTGCAGGGGCCTTGGAGGCAGCAGTAATAGCAGCAGCAGCCCTGCATCCAGATGCCTTTTAACTGCCCTAATAATGACAAAGTTCTTAAGAGTTACTAGCTGCCAAAATAATTTTTCAGGTCTGACCATCTCATTATACACTCTAACCTCCAATCAAATTGTACCCAGTACTCTCCATACCTTTCCTCCATCAGTCTCCTATACCTGAAACACCCTCCTTTTGCCTGTTCAATTCCTACCCATTCTCCAAAGTCAGAGACAATAACCTCCTCTGTGAAGCCTTACCTGTTGCCCCAGAAAGTGACAAACCTCTTTAGACCTCATATAGCACTTTATTTTATGACTCTCATACACCTGTGAGAGGTAAAATGGTATGATAAAGAGGAAGGTCTGGGGTTGAGAAGGGTTCAAGTCTCCTCTGAAACATATTGGCTATATGCCCACAGGAGAAGTCATAACCTCTTAATATCCCAGGCAACTAAGACCTAAATTTATAGATGAGTTGCCAATCTCCATAGAAGATTGGAGCCCTACACTGGGAGCCCTCTACACAGATGAAATCAGGTGTGGTTTAGTTCCCTGCCCCACTTCCTCCTCTCTCCTCCTCCAAATTTATCAGGTAATATGTTATTAGTTATGTTTGTCTTATCTCAAGTAGACTATAGGCTGATGAAAAGCAACTAATCATCTCATCTAAACTCTTGCTTCTCCCTTAGCATCTAACACTTTATGCTCTACACAGCACTTTAAAATTTGTTAAATGAACCAATGTCCACAGGATCATAAGATCTTGAACTGGAAGGGGCCTTAAAAATCTAGTCCAATCCTTTCATTTCGTGGAAACTGAGGCATAAAGAGAAGTGACTCATCCGGGACTGCACAGTATAAAATACATTCTTTAGCCTGATATTTAACATCCTTCACAATTTGGCCACCTAGTGGTATTATTTCACATTATCCATTCCTCCTTCCCAGACTCCATTGTCTAGCCAAATTAGATTCCTAGCTATTCCCTGATCTCACTCCAACTTCTCCCACCTGCTCTACTTGTCTGTCTGTGGAAAATCTTGTCTTTCTTAAAGGCTTAGTAAATGCTGCCATCTCCATGAAGCTTTCTGTGCTTCCTCCCCTAACACCAACTGAAAATTATTTTAAAACAGTAGTACTTGGGCCTTGGACTAAGTTATTGCAAGGGATCCATGAATTCACATGGAATGATTTAAGCAAAATAAATAAGCAAACATACTTTTTATAGAATGATTGATGGATGAGCTATGATTCCACTTGTGCAGGGAACTCCTAGATCTCCTATAAATTGCTCAGCAATTTATAATCTAAAAGAGTTGTCTACAGCCCTGAGAAGTTAAGGAATTTGCTCAGGGTCATGAGCCATTATCACAGCCAGGTCTTTCTGAATCTGAAGTTTAAGACCAGGCTAAACACTCAAACTTGAGGTCCTAAGTGTGTGGCCCTAACAAAATTAAAATGTATTCGGGAAATGTTTAACAAAATAAAAATACAACACAATGTTAATTTGTGATTTTCTACATCAACATGCTACTCACAGGGATCCATTTCTATTTGAGTTTGACACTTCACTAGACCACAGTCTTCAGGGTTGTTTTGAGGCCCAAACAAGTGTGTTTAGACACACACACACACACACACACACACACACACACACAAAGCTTTTTTGCAAACTTTAAAGCTTTATATACATTCATTTATTAATATTCTATGTTGTGCTGCATTAATTTGTGCACATCATATCCTTTCATTAGATTTTAAGCTCAAGCACAAGAATCCTCATTTTTCATATCTGTATTCCCAAACTCACACTGTTTGAACACACGAGGTGTTTAATACTGTGATATGAATTGGTGATTGGGGAGCAACAAACTTGATATTGACCCAGCAGAAGGGGGAAGGCCCTTGGTTTTTCTCAAGTTGACTGGCAAGGGAAAGTTGTATATTTGGGGCATGGAAGAGGAACAGGCCAAAACCTTACAAAGAAGACTGGAGCGAATACCATTCCAATGTTTTATTAACAGTTTGAAACAAATAAATCCAACAAATCAGAGGTGATGACATGTCCCAGAAGCCTGAGAGGCGAGGGAAATAGATTTGTATCTTGCCTTTTATTATTATTTTTTTTTATCAAATGCATCTTAGCAAAAGTGATTTAAAAAAGAAAGGCTCAAAGTCCAAGTGTCAGCCAGCAGGGAGGGACAATGGGAGTAGCAAGTACTCCCTACACCACAGCATTCGAAAAAAGTTCTCATAGCAGCTGCTGTTGCCCCAAATCCCAAGCCCAGGATTTTGGACCTCCCCAACTCCCAGAATTCCTTTTCTGCCCTTGAGGCCTCTAGATTTCCTCCTAACCCTTCCTCTTGTCCCAGCAACTACCATTCCTGGGATTAAACTTAGAGGGCCCCACTCTCTTCTTCTTATCTATGAGTAAGGAAATGAAGGGGATATGAGGAGAGCAGGGATGATCCCCTGCATTTGGGAATTCTAGCTTTACCTTGCTAGGGGATATGGCACAAAATTGTATCCAGTGCAGGGTGAGGGTACAGGGCCTATGGAGCATCCTACTGCCATGATTCCAGAGCATCCTACTCACATGATTCCACCCCACGCCCCAACCCTTAATCTAGACTTCTCTCCTCCCCCACGGTGGTGCCCAGTTAGCATTTGCACATTTGGCTCTTCAAATATATTAAATTTATAAAAAACTCAGCAGTACCTGGGTCCTCTCAGCTCCTTGGCCTGGCCTTGTCTGGTCAGGGAAAAAGTACCAAGCTACCCACAGATCTCAGAAATTAATAATCCAGAACTATTGCTGGGGACTTGGAATTTGAACCTGCCCACGGGACACATTCAGATGAGGGCAGTGAGGCGGGTCTTGGTCTCCGGGGATAAGTGAAGGGGAGAAATGCCAGGAACTCTCACATTCAGGAGGGAGAAGGGCCAGGAAACAGGGAAGAGGGGTTTTTTGTATATTTTCTAAAAAACAACATCTTATACAAAAATAGATCCATTTGCAAAACAATTTCTTAGCCAGGAGGCTCTGCCTCCCCTTTCCCTGGAGACTTGGAGAGGATGGGGGCCTTTTGCAGCCATACAACAGCTGAAACTTCAGGGGAAGATGAGCCAAGGCCCTAAGAATAACAAGGGCAGTGGGGGGCAAGTGCAGAAGACAAAGGGAGGGAGGGACAGTAAACAGGACACTCAGTTAAGCTGAGGGTGTGGGGAGGCTGTCCTGTCTTGATGCCCTGTCCAGCAATGCTCAGACTCTAGGGTCATTTTTCCTCAGGTGCTCTAGTTCATGCCACAGCTGGATAGTAGTGGTCCAGTTCTTTTTGCTTTGTGAAGCTGGGAGGAGGAGTCCTTCCCTGGGGAGGGGAGGGGAATGAGGGTAAGAGCTGCTCCTCATTTCTTTAGAAGCAGCAACCCACACCTCACCACAAACAATAAATATCAATAGCAAATGGAGAGAGGGAGAAGAAAGCATGAATGGCAGCAATGATAGGAGATCTAAAAATATGGTCAGAAAGTTCAAGAACCCCATGTGGTTCCTAGGGCTAGAGAAGCCACGGCAGGGCACAAGACAGCAGAAAGAACACAAATCCAGCAAGATTGACCTTGGGGTGAGCTCCTTTGGAGCCAGGGACTGAGGAAGCAGGTTGGGCACCACCTGAGATGTGGCACCACAGTAACAAAGGAAAGATAGTTAGGGTTAAGGCAGCGGAGATGGTCCCTGCTTTGGTAATGCAACAGCCAGTGCTGAGTGGGTGTCCAGGGCTTCTTCCAAGGTGCCCTTTCCTTCTTGCCTCCAGACAGCTAAAGCTGTGTATGCTATACAGAGAGCAGCAGGCCAAAGAATGGAGGCAGGGAAGGTGGGCTGCCATAGAGGAAAATCCACTTGACCCCTTAGGCTCATGCTACAAGGCAGGGCTGCCTTGGGCTCAGCTGTTCAGCCAGTGTTGCCGCAAAGCCCAGGCCTAACTCGCACGACCAATCAATTCCTTATTTTCATCGTGGATGTCCCGGGTTCCCTCACTCATCCTGGGCACCTTAGAAGAATGTGGAGTCATGGCATCATCCTTTGTCAGCTCTGAGGCAAGTAGAGAGGTGACTGCACATCCGGCCTTCCTGTTGGCTGTAAGAGAAAGGATATGAGACATTGTCCTGGGAATACCTGGTTCCTTGTCCCCTTCAATCTCTAGGATAGAGAATCAACTGGGGCCTACACTAATGTGTGTACTGCTCTGGACAGCATGTGGAATAACATGAGTCAATAGTGGAAAGGAAGAATCTCTCGGTGAAATAAGGAGGACAAGATGGTCAAGCAAGGGACCAGAGAGTTCAATTCATCTTGGTCACAGTCAGCTTGATGTTCCGCTAGTCACAGCCAGGATAGCACCCCCTACCCTGGAGGAGCCTTCTGCACGTGGCAGAGGATCTCCCACAGCCAGAAGCACTAGGAAGGGCTGTGTTTCACTAGCACATGCACACCTTGCATCCAGATGATTTTGTCTTAACTGCTCTCATCCTCAACAAAAAAAAAAGAACAACATCCCACCCACTTTATAATGTGATCCTGAAACTATAGATCTTATTTCAAGATAAGCCAGGGTGGGCAGAGTTGTCTGCAGACTACAGAATAGGCATTTGGTGGATCGTATCAAGCAAAGGTTCTTTACTTTTTTCTTTTTTGGTGCCATGGGCCCCTTTGGCAGTCTGGTAAAACCTATGGACCCCTTCTCAGAGTAATGTTTTTTAATGTTTATAAGTGAAAGAAGAAAATGCTAAATATCATGTGCCCCCTGAAACCAATCCACAGACCCTTTCTATGGATTCCAAGTTAAGATCCCTGTTACAAAGCAATCCGAGGTCAAAAAATGATGATATTCCTTTCCAGCTGCAGCCCCAAGGCTGCCTGCCATTGGTAGCACCCCAATACCACTAACCAAAAACAACACCCTCTCTTCCTCTATTCCATCTGCTGGAATTTCCACATAGGCTCCTAGGTCTGCAGGGCTTGTTTCTCACGGTTTTATTGCCCCTAGGACACACAGGCGGCTCTTCACTACCACACATCTCTGTGACTATTGTCCCTTCCCATGGCCTCTAAGTACAAACAGCATGTATCTGGAAATATGTGTGGGAAAATGGGGGAGGTCAGGGTAAGGCAACATGGAGGATGGAACACAGTGAGGTGGCTGAGGGGATTATGGGAACCTGAAGAGAGTACAAGTCTGGTCTAATCTATGTATGAGATACCCCCAGAATTTCTGCCCTCTCTGGAGCAACAGAAAATCTTTATTCGAGGAAGAGCCAAACTGGATCAGAAAGCCCAAGTAAGTGCCACACCCTCTCCTCTCCTTTCTGTGGCTGCCAGCTGTGCTGAGCTCTTAAGTCTTCATCATTACCCAAATCCACTGTTCTGGGGACAATCAGAATAGGGAGCACACATAACATGGCCCCAGTTCATCAACTCAGAAGTCTCCTTTTCCTCTTCCACTTAATAGCACAAAATACTAACAAGAGGAGAATGAAGAATAAACATATTTCCCAATAGCAGTTCTCTAATATTCCAGTTGGCTAGACTTCAGTTTTATCACTTCCTAGGCAGCGTGGGGCACAAATGCTTTGAGAGTTCCATAGATAATGAATATTCTCTAGAGTTTTGCTATTTTTTTCCCCTACAAGGAGTTGCTGTAGGAGTCTATAACTGACTGGACAAGATCAATAAGTCCCTTAGAAGAAGTGACTAAGTTTCTGATTAATATTTTTTTTTCTATAGATGTTCCCTTTCCATTTCCTTTTCTCCACCTGAGGTTCCAGGAACCCCTTTAATTTGCAAAACTGCCCAGAATTATTTGTCTCCCTTTTCTTTGCAGTTCTTTTTTGTCCCTCTAGCCCACTTCTCATTTCTGGAAAAGAGAGGCTCAAAAACCACATCACTGTCTGACTTGAGGCCAAGCTCTAGCAGTGAGGTAATGCTCCTATGAGGCCACTTTCTTTTTAGATCTGGAGGACAAGACACAGGTAAGGTAAAATTTCTGACTCTAAACTCAGGAAAAATAAAGGCCAGGTTCAAAGGGATTAAATAACCTAGTTTTTGTCAGGTGGTTTTGGGCAGCTATTGTTAGAGAAGACAGGTCTGTTCAAAATAGGAGATAGGAGTGTAGGAGTCAAAGTTTAAATGTTGAACCATTTTGAAATGCTTTGTTCCTAATTTTCTTTCTCTGTAGAATAAGACTGCTATCTCTGCCCAGGAATCTTGAGGACAACCCCCAATATTCACAGATATTAAAGAACTCCTGATGCTTTACAGATTAGATAAAACCTATTCTTAAGCCATGCGAGGAATTAATAGGGGGTCTGCAATACTCTTCATTTAAGATTAGGGAAGTTAAAGCACTAAGGACACAACATAGCTCAAGGTCACACAGCAAGCTAATATCAATTCTGGCAATGGAAGTTAAATATCCTGACCCCTACTCCATCCTGTCCACTGTAATAATGCTGAGTAGCTTGAACAGCCAAGCTCAAGGTGACTGCCCCACCTCGTGCCTCATCAGTTAGTTGATTTTAGCCCAGGGAAAACTAAAGGCTTGACAAAGGTACAAAGTAGTACACTGAATATATGAGAAGGTTCTCCCTCATGGAATTTTATTCATATTAACAATCAAGTAATGTTAATATTGATACAAAAGAAAAGTCAGAAAGGGAAAAAGTCAGCAAGAAACAGCTATACGATGTTGGGGATGGAAAAAGGGTTAATGAGCTGGAAAAAGGGTTTTATAGAACACAAGATGAGAACTAGTTAAAGGAAGTGTGCCTTTTAATAAGTTCCCCCGGAGAAGAGGAAACTGGGACAGATGGGACAGCTACAGTTATACTAAAAGTTTCATTCATGTCCTAATAAACTCCTAATTATATCTATTGTCCTATTTTTGCTCCATGGGTATTCTCTTCCTATTGGAATACTTTAAAAATATGGGAAAAAAAAGTCCCATCGAGGCAACTTCATTACTACTTCTTAGTTTTATCTGAAGGTAGGAAAGAGACCCTTCTAGACTACACAGGGGTTTCACCATCATTTTCTGTTTAGCTGTGGCCACCCAGTAGGAGCTGAGAGAGGAAGCAGATCTCGGAGTAGAGGAGGAAGGGAAGAGGGGGATAGATTTCTTTCTTCTTTTGACTCGTGCCATTCAGCAGATGGCCAGTATAAGAGGCTACAATTCAGACACTGAAATAAAGTTGAGTCATTAAAACCACAAACTGACTCAATCATCAGCCTGAAAAAGTTCCTGCAGGACAATTGCAGAGATTCTTCCCCTCCACACTTAAGCCATTGTTTTTGAACACTGCCGAACACAGCAGCATGGGCTCTGTTTTTAATGAACTGGCCTTGAAAGTCCCCCTTTCTCCCTCCTAGACCACTTCCCCCCATATCTAATAAAAAGGCCTTTGTATGATAGTCACTCCCTAGAGGCCTGTAGATTTTTTCCATTCCTTTACATTCTAGGGAAGAGCTGCTGGTGTCTTTGAATAGGGGACAGCTGCCTCCCTGGGAATGAGCAGTCACAGACCCAGCCTGTGAGGAAGATGTATAAGCAATGCCTCTGTTCAAGGCAATAAGCCAGATGATGCAGCCAAAAAGAGACAGGCAGTAATGGGGAGGGGCGGGCTCTTGAAGGATAGGCCAGAAGCAAAGAGGGAAGATGTAGAGCCATCATCTCAAAGGATGAAGCTTCTTAATCCTCTGCATCCCCCTACACTGCTTATAACTAAATTGCCACAGAACTTTTACAAATTAGAAAATCTGAGGCCCAGAAAATTAAGTGACTTGTCTCAGGTAACATAGCTAGGTAAGAAGTAGAGTTGGCACCACAACGCAGGACTCCTGACCACCAGTCTATTATGCTTTCCACTGTAATGCTTAGAGTTCTACCTAAGTGTCACACTTCTCTCAAAAAATCTGTCAACCTTCCTAAGGATTTCTGACAGATGTATTCAGGGAGGGTCCCTTTGGATGACAACTCTATGACTGTATGAAAGCAGAGACTATAGACTCACAAAGTCTAAAGAATGGAAGTCATTGATGATTACAAGACAGAGGCCCATCAAGTGGAACCACCATACTTGTCTCTGTGATGTGACTTCTAATCCATGCCTACTCTCAAACATTTAGTTGTGCTCAAAGATATAGACACCTCACCTTCTTGTACCTAGTGTCTGATTTCTCCTGTAACCTCTTATACAGGAAGAACTAAAAGAGCTGTCAACTAATTAATTTTCCATAGAGGAACTAAGGCTTCAGTGAATGCTCCTTCTTAGCCCTTGAATACTGGATTCTTACTCCAACAAGGGGGAGGACACAGAGACGAGGGAAGCCACCAGTGGTCTGAATATCTATACACAGGAAACACTTGGGAAGCATCTGGGATTCCAGTATATTCTACTAGACATGCTTCTCTAGGGTCAAATGGGAATTGTCCACAGAAGCCTGTAGCCAGCATACTCAACAGCTGAGAGTAGAAAAAAAAATCTGAAGGGCACCACACATAAGAATGGTTTGAGATGTTTACTGTGAGGCTACAGTATACTCCATGTGATATGGAGGTATTACTGTCTACAAGTTGACAAGAAAAATACCATTTGTCATCACTTAGGTCTATAGGCAAAGTCCAAGCAGCACTGATTCAGTCTGCCCTGCCTTCTTCCTACCCAAACACTCATGGCAAAACACTCCACCCAAACATCACATCCATTAGAAAGACTCAGGATGAGAAGAGTCAAAAAATGCTTAGGAAAATTCTTTCCCCTCTTACCTCCTACCCCTCAAATCATCATACCAATAAGCTTCACCTTTACTTCAGACTCTAGGGATTCTGTTTCTTAAGGAACATGATTGGGTTTGGGCTTGTGCTATAACCAGAGATTTTAGCATCCAATTAAATTTTCTACAGTATTCCATTTCTGGTTATCCAAGTTGATGGTAAGGGATGGTAAACAATTTCAATCCAACCAATGGAGACAAGATTTTTGGGTTAGAACTTGGTGATCTAAAAGTCTATCCTGCAAAGTATGGATTGGGGTTAAGTATACCTATTACTACATGCCCCACTTCTAGTAGCTAAACTCTCTGAAATTTGTAACAGGTGCTAGCTCTCTAACTTGTTAACAGGTAACAAGTATGTCATGCTCTAACTTGAATGGAATTGGTTACATTAATTACTGTGGGAGTATGCACACAAGCTCCATTTTTCTTTTCCAGGATGGTACCAAGGTTAAAGATGAGGTCAGGCAGGACCATAGAATGTCCAGAGAGCAAGTAGCACAACACCTGCCATTTTAGTAGTGAGTCTATGGCTAAAGGAAGCCTTTAGTTGCCATTTCCTTCCATTCTGGGAAAGAGGACACAATTTCTAAGACTCAGTTGTTCATATATCAAAGCATCATCAATCTAAGAAAACATCTTCATCAAGCATGGTGATGCATTTACAGTCTTGGTGCCTCTCTATTCTGAAAGGAGTAAGATTAGGAGCCCTGGCTATCCCCCACTTTTGATTAGGTCCCTTTGCTTCTCTCCATTTCCCTAGTTATTCATCCTCTTCATATCCTTACCTGAATAACATCTCACCTCACCTTTATTCTTTTCCCAGGTACTCTAGTTCAATGTTATACACTTAAAACCACCAAAGATGTGGTGGGAAAGCCTGCTTCTGGATCAGATAACTCTCAAACATACACATGAGACCCTGTGATTCAAGAGTCCACCTACCACTCCAGCTCCAAACTTTGAGTAGGTCTTATTTGTTCCTGTCATCTCTCAAGTATCTGATCATTTCACTCCCTTCATCCACCCTAATTCTAACTACACATATGTGTACAAACTCCTTATAGCCACAGAAACAAATTGCCTTCTTTCTGCCTCCCTTGTTTTAGATCTTTGCTCCAGAAAGGGAGAAGTGAAACCAGAGTTCTTCTCCAAGTCAGCAGATGAGCTCCAGGTATTGATAATCAGATGACTTTCTCTACATAAAGGAGATTCCAGTAGGGCAGCTTCTTCATTCACAGACTGCCAGTACTAGCTGTCTTCATCAACAAATTAGCTTAGCTAATCCTTTTCCAATGCAGGATTTGTGCCCTTAACTTTGGAACATAGAAACCTCACAGCTATCAACATAGGACCCCCACTTACCTTGTCTGGGTCCTCTCTTCCTTCGGAATGCCGCACCTGACTGTAGGGCTTCCAGGAGACTGTCCATCACACCAGTCTCATCACCCTCTGTAAGGAAATGAAGTAGGATATGGAGTGACTGGTTCATATGCTAACACCCTCTTATTCCAAGCACCCTGGGCTTTGTCAATCCCCACAACACAGAAAATGAACTGTGTTTTGACCTCTACTGTTCCATATGGTTCCAAACCACAATGACAGATGGGAGTAGAAAGACAGAAGGGTCTCAAAATCTAAGTTGTGCATATTTACACATTACCTCAAGGTTACTGAAATAAGAGGTTTCAGCACTGAAACCTCTGTAATTAATTAAGGGGCACTGCTTTCCCCTTACTAGGATCTTGGATTATCAAGGCAAACACAGTTGGATTCTTTTCCTTCCAGGTATACTCCACCTCCAGCCTCATTCCTCTCTCTTAGCCAGCATCAGGACAAAGAATTGCTGATCTTTAAGGCACAGACTAAGATTAAAATAATAGAAAGGAACTGAAACTCCCTTCCCCTAATCCCTCAAGGCATTCGACTTAGATGTCTGCAGCAGGGGTCTGTTCCCCTCTGCTGAGGGAAGACAGGCAGGAAGCCACAAATGAATGGTCAGCTTCCACACATGTATCAGCCCCTAACGACACCCTCCCCCGGGGAGCCACATTCCATTTAGGCCCTCTTGCATATACTGAACAATCTTTGCAGGTTTACAAGGAGTTAATGTAGAATCCTTGCTCATGGCCCAGGTCTGTTTCCATGGCAACAACTCCTGGGTGGTGAAACCTGAAACTGCAAAATCCCCAGGAACAGCTGTCATTTCCAAGGCTCTGGCTAAGCGTTCCAAGCGCCATCTGCCTGCCAAAGATGAACAATGCAGCTGACCTAGATTCCAGCTCAATTGCTGGCCAGAGGATGACAGGGCACAGGGATACCGTGCCCCCTGCTGACTGGGCCAAATCCTAACATCACTTATATGCCAAGAATAAAGATCAAAGGGTTTTAAGAAAAAAGGCATCTGTCAGAGGTCCCCTCATTTTACCCGTCAGAAAACTGAAGCCCCAAGAGGCTGACTTCCCTGAAGTCATATTGGTAGTGAAAAAGCTGAGATTTGAACCAGTCTTCTGATTCCCAATTTCATGTTGTTTTTCACTATAACATGTTTTCTCCTACCCTGAGTACCTACAACGTCCCAGGAAATATCCTTCTAGTTCTGTTCCAGTCCACAGACAGATATCAGAGGACAGGATTAAGAGCTTCTATGACCCTCGATTCATAACTAGAGTAGCTGGGATGCTGAAAAGCAAATGAAATTAGCTGGGCTGAGACTTGGCATAAGCTTTGTTACAAGGCTTTGGGGCTGGAAAAAGGCAAAGAAATGGGCTGTTACTGCTTCTTCCATTAGGCTCTGATAGTTAGGCTCTCTTGAGGGTTTGTATTCAACCAGTAAGATGGAAAAGGTCCTGAGAGAAAAATAATAAACCTCTAAAATCAGTTTCCAAACAAACCAGGATGGCACAGGACCAGGAAAAGTCAGTCTTTCTTTAAAAACAAAACAAAACCAAACCAAAACCTTAGCTTTAACAGAGCACAAACTATTCAGTTACTCTGAACTAGCTGAACTTTACTAGGCCTGGCATTTCAGAGGTATTACCCCTAACCCTCACTTGGAAGGAACAGCCAAGGTGGGATGGGGGGGAGGGGAGAAGAGGTAGTAAGGTAAATTCAGTTGGATATTGATAAATTAAAATGTTAAATTTAATTTAAATATAACAGGTAAATTTCTGCAGTCACCAACATGAGCAGTCAGTGGTGGGGGGAGGAGAATAGAAAAGGAATCAAGAACAGGAAAGGAGCAGAGGCAGGAAACAGAGGGGCAGTAATTGAGGCCATATGTTTCAACAAAGGAATGTTTCTGGTAGCAAAACTGTGTGTGTGTGTGTGTGTGTGTGTGTGTGTGTGTGTGTGTGTGTGTGTGT